CCATAATTTTGGCCCTATCACTTTATTTTTATACCTTCTATTTCACTCAGTATTTTTTAAAATTTTTCTTTTTTGTTAAATATTTACCAAAAAATGAGTCAGTAATGGTTTCGCTTGGTGTTCCCTATGTCTTTTTCCCTTTTCTTGTGAAGGCTATAAAAATGTGCCAGACATTGAGTAGCAGCAGTTTAATTATCTGCATTTGTAACATTGTTCATTAAGATGCTTTATGCCACTTTGAATAAACTATTCTTTTATTGTCCTGTGAGGACTTTAAGCAAGACAGTGCAGTTGCACTTCTTGGAAAACACTTTTCAGGGAAGTGATGCATGAAATTGAGTCTCCTTGTTTCCTGGTGTGTTTAAATATATCCAGAGAGTGAACAGTCATGACTAAGCTGATAATGAGATTCATTTTCAGAGCTGCTAGAATGCTTCCAAGAAATCCTCAAGGAAGTAAATTCTGATCAAGTATCTGAAGGACAGATTTCTTTGGGAGACTTGCTACTTTGGCAGCATATTCTAGTTTTGGTGTCTTATTTACTGACTGCTGAACAAAGTAGACAAACATATATATACGATCCAAGCTTCGTACATGGTTCATGGTGGTACTCTTAATATGGAGGAAGTATAGTTTTGTTCTCATAGGTGGTGGCTGAAGGCTATTAATTGCATATTGTCTGCTCATTCATTGTCAGGATTAGAGAGTATAATTTTTGGCGTCTAGAACAGAAATTACTAGACTCTGCTTTAGTTTTATGTGAAATAATTCATAACAAAATATCCCTCTAGAGATATTTCATACTCGGTATTGTAACAGACTCGGCAGAGTATGTATTTAAACATGAAACTTAATATAATAATTTTCCAGTACTCCACACCTACTGAAAGTGAAATAAAAGAAAAGATTTTGAATTCTATTACATTCACTCCACCTTTCTGTCATTTAATGTTAAACTTTAACAATCCTACGTCAGTAATCTCATTATTAAGTTTTCTCAGTTTCAGATTATCCTCATTTTTGTGTTAAAATTCACTTATTTGTAGAGACACTGTCACTGTATTTTTTTTTAATGCGTGGTTTCTCAAACTCTGGTACACTGTCTGCTGTAAGGGGGGTTGCCAAGTTTTTGAATTAATATATAGACCCAGTTGTATCCATACACAATTTTGCTCATTAGTAAAGGTTTAAAAAGGTTCTTTTAAAAAATCTAGCTGCATTTGGTGAAAGATTTTGCAAATTTTTTCATCACCATATAGGATCATTTTATGGCTGAGGACGTGGAGGCATTGAACAACTCTTTACGCCCCAGCTGCTGCCATACAGCCTAATAGAGACCTGCAACAATGTGCAGAAGTGTACTTTTTGCTGACTAGCAGAGATGGGTTGTTACATAAATTGATGTATGGTTTTTGGGGGATTGCAGTATCACAGAATTTGAGAACCCTTGGGTTACTGTATGATGTCTTATCAGGTGCTGAGGATATAAGTGTTATACGTATGAGAGCTACAAGTATTATGTTTTTGGACATTATTGTCTATTTTTTAAAAAACCATCCTGCTGCTTTTTTTAAAATACAGGCTCCTTCGTAAAGAACTCTTTATAAAATCAATACAGGATATCAACCTGCAAAGAGAAGACTACCTTGTAAGTTTTGACGTTGTTAGTCTGTTCACCAATGCACCAGTGGAAGAGGTCTTATGAGTCATAAGAAGTAGACTCAGAATGGATCCTGCCTTCCTAGAGAGCTCACCTTTACAAGTTGAAGAAGGGATGGAACTACTGGACATCTGCTTAACAACCACGTACTTCCATTTTGAAGATACGTTCTACCAGCAAAAAGAAGGTATGGCAAAGGGAAACTCACTTTCTCTGGTGGTCAGTAATATTTTCATGGAGCATATTGAAGAAATGGCGTTGGACACAGAAGAATACAGACCCTCAAAATGGCTAAGATACGTCAGTGACACATTTGTGATATGGCCATATGGACCAGAACAGTTACAGGAATTTCTTCAACATATCGACAACATCAGGGCTACCATCAAATTCACTGTGGAAGTTGAGGCTAATAATGCACTTCCATTCTTGGATGTTTTCATTAAGAAGCAGGCTCCAAAACTGACCACCAAAGTGTACTGAAAGCCTACTCTTACTGGTCGTTATCTTCACTTCAAGTCCAACCACCCACATCACGTAAAAAGGGGAGTCGTTCATAGTTTGGTCAACTGAACGAGGGTCATATGTCAAAACCAGAAGGATTTTAACAACAGCATTAGAAACATGAGACATGATCTGATCGTGAATATCCAAAAGAATCCGTGGACTCTGTAATGAAGCCATTGGCAAGAAATTGTCCCTCTTCGGATAGAACAAACCAGGGCACTGTAGTCATCCCGTATGTCAGGGCTATCTCTGAGAAAATCAGACGTATTGGGAACCGTTTCCAACTCAGAACCATTTTCAAAACTAAACATAAACTCCGTGGGACATTGATAAAAACTGGACCTGTTAAGAGATGCCCAGCAGGCGAAGCAGTGTGCGTATAGCATCCCATGCGACTGCGGCAGATGTTACATTGGCGAAATAAGCAGACCTCTAGAAGTACGCATTAGGGATCGCAAATATAACCTGACACAGGGTTTGCTGGAAAAATCAAAATTAGCCCACTGTGCATACGAGGAAGACCACAGCATTTTTTGGAATGAAGTGAAGGTCTTGCAGATCAAGCCCAATACCTCATACAAGAAATAAAGGAATCAGCCCATGTGTCTCTGCTGGACCATCCGATCAGTCAACCCAGTGTGGATATCTCTCCCATCTGGACCCCTGTAATCACAGCAGAGGTCAAGAGACTACAGTGCCATCAGGTGTAGTTGGAGTGGGGACTATTTGTTTTCTTGTGTTGGCACCACAAGGAGTATTGCTTCTCTCCAGGTATGATTTCATTTGAGATACTTCTCTGCTGCAAGGCCTCATGTGTGTGGAGTTTCAATAGATGAATATTTTCTTAGCTCTCACAGATGGTTTGTGTTGTGCTTGGTTTATGAACCACTTCTGAAACTGGCATAGGTGTCCAGAGATAGGGGCTATCTCTGTCTATTGGACCCAATTGAGTAGGTTTTACCTGAGGACGGGGACAGAATCCAGTCTCCAAAACGTTGTGTTTGAAAAAAAGAAACAGGACGTTTTTTTTAAATAGACAAAACGATGGATAATGTCCAAAAACATAACACTTGTAGCAATGCACCATCGTCACAAACTTTTAGATCTTAGTTATACGAAAGGATGACAGTTAATCATGACAGATGTAAGAGGTGTAGGGGATGAGGTTCTTAATGTCTTAGCTCAGAATTTGTCAGGAGAGACTGAAGAAAATATTAAAAATCTCAGAATAACTGGTATTCAACCAAAAGCAAGCTATATGTGTTACTGCTGTGCCAACCTGCTTGGTGGAGAAATGTGTCATGGTTTCATAACCCTCATGAGCTGATTATTTCTGTAGGATTTGAAGTTCTTATAGCAGTGGTTATGAAGAGTTCTACTTGCTACATGCTTGTTGCTTGTGGTTTATTCTTCAACCCTGAAGATGGAGGTTACATGTTCCTCCAGTGTCAGTTGACTTTCAGCAGACTACACTGTGTTATATCCCCGAAGATAGGACTCTTCATTATGTCTCATCAGACAGATGTCTGAGTGGAGCAGAGATTGAGTTTCCAAACCATCTTACTTTGCTGATGAATTTGAAATGAGCTGAAACAGTTCCTTGTCTGTATGTCTGGTCTCATATTGTGGAGATTATTTCAGGTTTGCCATAATAAAAAATAGCAATTGGCAAGTTAAAACAGTGTAACTTTAGCTTGCCGTGTTATGTGTTGAAGCTGTTCCATTGTCAGTTTTGCAGTTGAAATGAAGGTGGAGGCTTGGAATGTGGTGGTATGCAAAGAGAAGAGATCATGCGGTTAAGAATAAGGGTTGAAGGAAAAGAAATGAAGCCAGACATTATACAGTTTGAATCCATCTTCATGGTTGACATTATGGGTGTTTTTGCTTTATTGTGTTGACTTCCCTGATGATGCAAGTATATTAGGTGTGGCTAATATTATACTGCAGTATCCTTTTGCAGTATGTATTCTAAATCAGCACTCACACTTCTCACCCTTCCTGTGCAACTTCGTTGGTGTATTAAAATTCACACTTCAGAATCATTCATCTCTTCCTCTTATTCGAACATTACATGTTTTGGCTGTGCTGGTCATCGTCAGGTGTACAAGTTGTAGAGGAAACTGCTTTCCTGTTGTCACACTGCTACACTTTGCATTTTAAAGACTTAAAATACTAAAAATGTTTTAAAATATCATGCCATGTTTATTTTGTTGTGTGCACTTATTGTGGGAGTGGTGTATATTTTGTTGGGGTGATGACTTTTCTGTGGTGCTGTGTGTAGCTGTTCTCAGCTACACACAGGACTGACGCTACAGCTGTTCTCAGCTACACAACATTGAAGCTACACAGATCACTGTAGAAAACCCTGTTTCCAACAGTACCTATATTGTTGCTTGCATATCCATTGAGCCGTTCCATGTGTTCTTGCTTATTAAAATCTGTTGCCTAGCAGCAAATGTTTCTTCCTTGCAGCTGCTGCCTAGAAATAGGTCTGTATGCCACATTATGTTGAGGCTATAGCAAAATAGAATGACTCTGTGAGATTTGAGGTTCTGACAGGTTGCAATTCTGAAGAGTACGATCTTAGCGTAGTGTATGCCGCTTTGCTTCCTCAGCTGTTGTTAGTCTCTGAACATGGAAGCAGTATGTTCATCAGAAACATGTAACCTTTTACCAGACAGCGAGGTATAACATACTGGAAGGTAGGATTTATCAAAATAAAATGTTTGATGTGAATATTTATTCAGTATAATTGTAGCTTGATTTCATCTGTGGTAAAGAATGTTACGTGAAGGATTTTGTTTTGTTACATGCATTTTGTTTTTGTTTGCAGGAATCAGCACCAGCGTCACATTCAAAACAAGTGAAAGAAGAGCCAGAGCCCACGCCTGGACCGTCCTCTCAAGGTAACTTGATCTCTAATGTTATTGAGCAGTGTTAGTTGAAATGGATGCCTTATCAGTTGGTAGCTTAACCTCCTTTCATATTGTCATGTGTTAGGGAGTAGATACAGGGTTTGGATTGATAACTGGATTTACTGAATGCTTATAACTCACACTCATGGAGCTGAGCCCTTCTTGAGAAGCTGCCAATTGTGCAGCCACTCAAGAACTTCCCAGCATTTTATGGAACCTGAAGGTTCATTTCTGTGTTCACAAGAGCCCTCCACTGGTCCCTATCCTGAGCCAGATCAATCCGATCCATACCATTCCATCCTATCTCTCTAAGATCTGATTTAATATTGTCCACCCACCTATGTCTTGGTCTTCCCAGTGGTCTCTTTCCTTCTGGCTTTCCCACCAATATCCTGTACGCATTCCCCTGTCCCCCATTCGTGCTACATGCCCTGCCCATCTCATCCTCCCTGACTTGATCATTCTAATTTTACTTGGAGAAGAGTACAAGTTACAAAGCTCCTCATTATGCAGTTTTCTCCAACCTCCTGTCACTTTATCTTTCTTCGGTTTAAATGTTCTCCGCAGCACCTTGTTCTCAAATACCCTCAGTCTCTGTTCCTCCCTTAAAGTCAGAGACCAGGTTTCACACCTATACAGAACCAGAGGCAAGATTATAGTTTTGTATGTTCTAATTTTTATGCTTTTAGACAGCGGAGGAAAAGACGAAAGATTCTGGACTGAATGGTAGCAAGCATTACCTGCGTTCAGTCTCCTCTTAATTTCCTCCTGAATCAGGTTTTGATCTGTTGTAGTCATTCCCAAATATCTGAACTGCGCCACATTTTCAAAAAATTTCTTACCTATCTTTTTGTCCTGATTTTGCCCTGCATTTTGGTGATGAGATAGCAACATATACTTAGTTTTCTCTGTGTTTTCTTCTAGACCAACCTCCTTACTAGCATCAGTTAAAGTGTGTGTGTTTCTCTTTGTGGTATCTACATTATCACCCAATAGATTCAGATCATCAGCATAGATCAAACTTGTAACTGTAAATGATTATAACTCTCTCACTGACATACAGACTAAAATCACTGCAGCGTACACTGAATCATCTCAGTTTGTATGCCTTTACTGGTCATTGCTAATAGCAGCTTATCTGTTTCTGTGCTCATGCTGAATCAATTTTTTCACCAACAGTTTCAGTATCCCAAGTCAGTGAGTGTTATATTTCCACCATTTAAGATTTTGTTAGTTTAGTGTTTAAATTCAGTACTTGTAAAAGAAACCTTAAATTGGAGTTTCACTACAATGTTTTACTTCCATAAAATGTAGAGTACAGTACAAGTGAAATTACTAATGCGGGAATAGTTTGACGAGAAGTCATGACCATTGCTAGGCATCAGCGCAGTAATCGTGTTTCCACAGCAACAGAGGAATTGTTGGAAGCAGTGTTTTCTATGTGGTCCATTCTAAGAGTATAGGCTGAGGGTTCGTGTTTTGGGAGAGAGACAGATGCATACAGCATGCTGAGGATAATGTCACATATTTTGGGGTGTGTGACTCTAGACAGGATATGGCTTGGATATTGGATTTGTTGACAACTTGTATGTACCCCTCAGAACTACACTTTACAGATCACTGACACACAGGCTAGTGTCCTAAGTCTATTACAGTCTCCAATAGCTGTTCCCTGGCAGCAGCTACCAATGGCGATTCTTCAGCTTCCCACCCTCTGGTCCTCTTGTCAACTGACAACTCAGCTAGCTGGGTCCCAGGCTGGCGGCCATTTCACACTGACCTCCTAGTCTTCTCTGCACACGCTGACTTTCATCTAACAACTGAACTCTCTCACTCACCAAGCAGCTGCTTCACATCACTTCACTCAACTGAACTGCTAATGGCTCTAACTTCGGAACTCGACTGACCTTGCTTATAACATTTTGGCACGAACAACATAGAAAACACCATTTCCATTGTTATAGTCCAACAGTACCTCGACGGCTGCATAGAAATGGGTATTTGTTTATTTGCCTATAGCATAACAGTGCTGTTGTTTACAAAGTGACTGCTTAGCAACAGATCTGTATGCCACAGTATTTTGGATTCATCTGTTGGGAGGGACACCTGTATAGAGCAGGCTGACAGTAGGATTTTGGGAGCTAGGAGATCAACTGTGCTGATTGATATCTTTCATGTGTTTACACCTTCAGGCACATTCTGGGATAGTACCTAATCCCTTTGAATGCCAATCCCGAACATAGAACTGCCTGCTAGAGATTCCAAGTCTGCTTGGTGGTAAATGCAGTTTCACGATATTGAACAGTTTTTGTATCTAATTTTGTATAACTCCTGTTTAATGAAAACCTTGATTTAATGTAAGATAATCCATTATCCCAGAGTTAATTAAGTGGGGATTTCACTATATACACAAACAATTAAAATGATAACATTCTTTGTATACTTTCACAGACCCAGGTCAAGCCTTTGTCCGGCCAAGTAACATGAATGACCCTGAACAGTATGCTCTTGGTGAGTAAAGAACTAGCAATGCTTCCAGTAATATTTTTCTCACTATTTTGTATGGTTGTGCTTTAGATATGTATGAAGAAATTCACTGAAAGTGTGTAAAAACTTACGCTATGATTTTTTTTAAATTGCAGGAAGCACTTTTAGTCTGATAACACGCTTGTGTGTGCGCGTGCCTATGTATGTGTCACTCTTTAATAAGCCTTTCATAATTCCAAATCAAGTTTGAAAATAATATCCACCGATTGATGTGATTTTTGTCTTCAGTAGAAGTAACATTAATAGTAAAATACTGGATAATGTAACAGTAAGTTTGAGGAAGACATGATGGCTGTATTTTAAAATTTGTGGTGATATTATTGCCTCCACATATATGATTATTTTATGTCTTTTTGATGACTGCATCACAAATTTCAATTCTATATCAGATCTGAGGTTTTCGTGTTGGTGACTTTGAAGAGTATTATTGTCTTCTGTATTGGAATGCCATGTAATTTGGAGAGAGCCAGAATTTCCAGAGGAACATATCAGCCAAGCTAAGCTTTGTTAAGCTTTGCTTGCCACGTGCGTCCGCTGGTTGTTGTTTGGCTTGCTTTTGTTCCCCTGAAACTCTGGGCTCTATCTGAATTGCACAGCAATACACCTCGGAAGACCACAATCTTCATCCGTTTTGTAGATCGTAGACTAAACCTGTGGTTGAACATTTTGGTCTTGAGACCATATAAGATTTTGTCTGTTAGTCCCTGTGCTTAACTAATTAAGCTCTACACCATGAAGATGTATGGGGGAATGGTTATGTAGATTGACATATTCTTGACCTCTGTACTAGTTGGAGGCAAGTGGTCAGCTTCACACGCCGGCTGCTTTACCCCTGGTGAAAGAGCCTTCAGTCCCCACTGGATAGGAGGTTGGGTGAGCCCCAGGATTGATCTGGATGACAGGGAGAGGAGAAAAATCTTGCCTCTACTGAGATTCACACTCCGACCCCTTGGCCTTCCAGTCTGTAGTCATTCTCCATACTGATTGCACTATCCAGACATGAAATAATTATTTTATTACAGTAAAGTACACATATGACTCATGAATTGTGCATATCAGTTACATTGGATACTTAATGGTAAAATTAAAAGTACACTGGAAAGAGGCATATTGGTTTTGGGGATCACTCGGCTTCCTGTTCAGTGGGTACTGGAGGGGTGGGGGTTCCCTGGTGGTAAAGCAGCCTGAGTGTGAAGCTCACCAATCATTCTGTCTAGTGCTGATCTCTCAAATGGATGGAGCTTTTACCTTTGAGATTCTTAAACATGCACATGGCATGATAATTTGTGACATGTACAACTTCAGTACCTGAACATTATTGAAATTCGTTAGAAGTTGATCCAGTACAGAAATATACAAAGATCTGTTTGAATACAGTTGTCCTAAATTGAATGACCCCGATACTGCTACCTAAAGAAGGAATAAAATGTGAGTATTAATTACCCAATTAAAGATTCATCATTTTATACATGCATACGGTAGCATAGTTGGTTGAGGCACTCTGCTACAAGCTGGAAGGTTGCGGGATCAAATCCCAATGAGGTCATTGGATTTTTTCAATTTACCTAATCCTTCCAGCCGCACTGTGACCCTGGGGTTGACTCATCCTCTAACAGAAATGACTACCAAGAATATTCTTGGGGGTACATGGCGGCTGGCGCATAGGGCTGACAACCTTACCACTGTCTGTGAGCCGATTGTCTAGAAAACGTGGGAACTTCAACATCTAACAACCCTCTGGGCCTCCAAGGTCTGTTACAGGGATACCTTTACTTTTACTTTATATACAAGAGAGATGAAATAAGGGTTAGTTCTTCCCAGAAAATGGATAGTTCTTATTTTGAAATTGAGGATCTCATAACACATCTGCACTCACCCTTTTCAATGCTTTTAATACTGCTACCACTTTGATGTGTCATGCAGATATCATATATTTGGAACAAGACCGGATATATATAGTGTACACTAACAGTCACATTTTGTGAAAGGAATTAGAGAAGGCCTACGAATTATACATGTTCTTCAAATTAATTGTAGAAAAAGAAAATATAGCTAATATGAGAGAGGAAAGTGATGTTCTCATTTTTGAAGATACCCTGTTTAGGATAAACTGTATAAGTAGGACCTCAATGAAGTCTTTCCTTTCAATAAAACAGATATTAAATCCATCTGTATCGATTCGGTATTGATACTTAGATCAGTGAGGAGTCAGAACTTTGTACTAAATAAATAAAGTCGACATCAAAGCTTCACTATTCACTGTTTTGTATACACTAAAAGGAAATGAAGTATGTATAAAACTCATTGAATGCTGGGTGGCATACGTCGAGAGGTGATTGGGAAAGTAATGTTGAATAAGAAAGTTTAATGCAACATTGGTTCTGTTTCCAGTCACTGAGGAGCTATAGATGTTTAGGTGTATGCAATAGAACATAAATTAAATTATTAATCAGATGTATTTGTTGCCATGGTTTACGATTTATGTCTTAACTGCTCAAAATGTGCAGCATCGTTTTCAGTCCATAGTCTTGTTTGAGTTTGACAACCAGTTTACTGCCCATGATATCATTTTGGGGTGTTCTCGACTGCAAGTACCAGTATTTGTAATTTGATGCAAGATTTCTGCTCTCATCTATATTTTGGTCATATAGATCCTCCCTTCCACAAAGCCCCACAAAAGAAGTCCGGCAAGTTTAGGTGTAGAGGTTTCAGCAACCAAGGTATTGGACCAGCATGACCAGTGCACTGATTACTGTAGCACTGATTCAAGTAAGGCGTAGCTTGACCAAAACTCGGAGCTGCCATGCTGAGAGTACGTCCCCAGAGCAGCACTGTCTCCAGAGGCACATCTTTCATTAAATGCAGCAGTTCATTTGTCAGGGAGTACAAATAATTAGCGGCAGTGAAATGTTCCAAAATGAATGGTCTAATCAGCAGATCTCCAGTTGAACCACACCAAACATTCTCTGAGAATGGATGTTGGCAGCTGCTTTCAGTAGTCCTGATAAGGTAAATGGTGGATTATAAGTGGGAATTTTGTGTACTGTTAATTCTTCCAGCCTGGTTGAATTGTGCTTCATAATGAACCGTGTATGATGAGAATGTGGTGATGCACGAGCATCTACTGGCAAACTTGAACGTGAAGATCATAATTGCCCAGCTGAAGAGTGTCCATGTAGCAAATGATAGGGACACAAACCGTTTGCAGTTTACCATACTCACAGCACAGATTCACCAAGTTGATAAACATCCTTCAAACACTGGTTGTTTGACTGTGATGTGGTAGTTCAGTATGCACTCTTTTGGAGTAATGGGCTGTTGTGCTCCATGTTCTTTGTTATGTGGAACAGCTGTTCTTGCTTCCTTTAATCTCTGGTATGTATCACTGTATGCTTGCCTGTTGGGGATTTCGCTGCTCAGAAACGTATGATGTACTGGATACCAATAGTGAACTGTTGATTTATCTTGTGAGAAACATGCAAGAAGATGATATAGAGATGGGGTAGTTCAGTTGGTATAGCAAACCATTGGCTGGATGGCCAGAGTTTGATTCCTGGCAGGGGCAAGACATTTTTCTCTACTCCACAGCATCCAGACCTCTGGGGCCCACCCAGGCTCCTCTCTGGTGGGTGCCAGGGGCTCTTGCCCTGGGAGAAAAGCAGCCAGGTTGTGAAACTGTCCAGTCACTTCCATTGAATGCTGAAGTCAAGAATGTGGAGCTGTATCTCCACTCCCACACACACATCCTCATGACATGGTGCTTAGTTCATTAAGCTCAAGGACATTAGGGCCGCGCCATAGCTCAAGAGGTTAGTTGCTGGCTTCCCATCGCGGTGGCCCGGCTTCGATCCCAGGTCTGGTCAAGTGGGATTTGTGGTGGACAAAGTGGTGCTGGGGCGTGTTTTCTCCTAGTAATTCGGTTTCCCCTGCCAATCTTCATTCCACCAGTTGCTCCACAATAACCCCACCTATCTATCATCTAGGGCTGGTACAATAGGTCAGAAGTGGCCGCAGTACAAGGGACTTAGTCCCACCCCACTAGCAATGAAAAGAAGCTCAAGGACAATTTTACGTTTACACGTGAAGGAAGCATGATTCTGACCTCATCACTTGCAGTATTTTATCTGTCTCTTTACTCGGACAGGACCAGTTGAGGCAAGAAAGAACTGAGAATTGGTGGTGGCTACAGTTCACCTGAAACTATCATCATCGTTTCTATTTACAATATCAACTTCCACAGATGCCAATTTAAACCATTGCCACTGTTACCATGCGTTGAATTTCACAGATATGTGCATATGTCTGCATAGCTTTTCAGTGGTGGAAATATGGTCAGTGTTGTATTAATGTTTTTGCCAGACATTACCTCCTAAATCACTTCCTGGAGTATGGCAGACCATCTGTACTTCAGACGTGTGTGGTAATGGAACACTACATTGGAAGACTGACACCTCTGATTTCTTAATTGAGGTATTCTGTTGGAAAAATTGAAGGATTTATTATCATCTACCTGCATGATTGAGAATAGAAGACTTCAGCAGCAACACTTAATTATATTTTTATTAAATGTGCTGTCACATGTATGAGGTATGACAGGGTTTAGATTGGTGACTCAATTATTGACCACTTATACACTCATAACTCATGACTACACTTTACAGAACATTGACACATAGACTAGTGTCCCCAGTCTATTACAGTGTCCACTAGCCATTTCATGGCAATGGATTTTAACACATGAACTATAACAGTCTCACTGAACTGCACACTTCAAATATCACACATAAAGTCTTCTCTTGACAGCCTGATTTGCAACTGAGCACTCTTGCAACTAACTCATGGCCATTTCACACGAACTTCCTAGTCTTTTCTTCACTACCCAACTTTCAGCTGACTACTGACTTGCTTGCCCCAGTTGTCTTCCTTATCACCCCTCTGCATGGAAACCTGTAAAATCAAGCGGT